TATTTTTAAATATTTCTCTTTGAATTAACAAAATGAGTAATTTATAGTTCTAAAGAATCATAATCTACAGTTTGATACCAAAGTTATTGACATAAATTCATGAAATAGTAGTTCAATAAAATTTTGAATGCGAGTCAACAAATGAGATGACATGGTTTTTCACCTGTGACCCATCTCAAAAAGTTTAAATAGTAAAAAAAATTTCAGTCTGTTCATTTACTCACCTATTAATATACAATTTCTAGCATTTTCATTTCATATATATAAATAGTATCCATGACATACACAGTAACACATCATTGTTTTTACATCATCATTAAATATATGTTTAATAATCATATAAATCATAAATAATGGATGGTAAGATAATGCACAAACTTAAAGGTAAAAAAAGCCTCACTGCATCTGTGAGCATATTAAGTTAATACAACAGAGAAGTGTAATGTCACTTACACAGAAATGGTCTTGACGACCAGGAACTTGGTCCTACACAAACCAACAAGTGAACGAGTAAAAGCTGTCCAAAATAACTCACTGGCAGAAGCACAGTAAAGTTCATGTACTTGTATAGTAACAAGAATCATCATTGTAGCAATTTGTATACATTTTCATTTCATGTATGTTATCTCTCTTGTAAATAATTTAAACCACTTGAAGCTCTGTACTATCAATCATGGTTTGTGTTTAGTGGAATGCTCGTGAAAAAGCTGTAAAGTGAAACACTAAGTGACCAATTAAAGAAAAACAAATTTGGTGTTAAAAGGCCATTTATTACTCGTGTTGCTAATCATAAATGCAAACCACAAAACATCTTATTTAATAAATTAATACACTTATTTCTACGTTTCATTCTAGATGATGCTAATCATAAATGCAAACCATAAAACATCTTATTTAATAAATTAATACACTTATTTCTACGTTTCATTCTAGATGTTGCTAATAATAAATGCAAACTGCAAAACATTTTATTTAATAAATTATTACACTTATTTCTACGTTTCATTATAGATGTTGCTAATCATAAATACAAACCATAAAACATCTTATTTAATAAATTAATATACTTATTTCTACGTTTCATTCTAGATGTTGCTAATCATAAATGCAAACTGTAAAACATCTTATTTAATAAATTAATACACTTATTTCTAGGTTTCATTCTAGATAGTCAAATATGATTAAACTAGTAAATAAAGCTGCAAATAATTTACCCCATAGTACAGTATTTCTCAAGTAAGATAAAAAAAGATAATTTGCACTGGGTTACTGACAAAGGCCCAGACCAAACTGAAACTGACCCACTAATAGCAAATTACAAAAATGGTTGATGGTGGTTTTCTTTTCAGGTAGATAAGATTCTGTCAAACAAAAATTCTGTTGCATTCTCAAGTACAGGTTTGTAAAATGTTATTAGCAACTGGGTCAAAGTTTCGGTTTGGTCTGGGCCAAAGGCTCTGACACAAATCTTACAAAAGGACAGCTTGTCTGAAAACTAGACCAAAGCATTTTATTCACTGTTAATATTGTTATTTGAACTTACCGTTACCATGACTTGACAATGCAGCTTCACTACTTTAGTAGATAAGTCAATTGTTTCTTTCACAAGACAAGAAGCTTTGCTTGGGTTATTCACCTTTTTTTAACCAAAATTTGTACTTTTCTATTTCCAGCCAGTCATTAAGTACACATTTCCCTGGCATTTTGCCAATCAGAGAGTTTTAGCGGAAAATACAAAATGAAATAGTAGCAAAAAATAACTCTTAACAACTTTACTTCTGCTCCTCATCATCTGGTTTGCACTGCTTCTCTCTAAACCTGACAGATGTCAGGCACATACACTGCATATTGAGTAACAGACCTTGCATCTTATAGCACTGCCTATACATGAAAAAAGTGGTACTGTGCACCGAGGACTGTATAATGTTGAGCTTTTAATAAATTCCATTCATATTTTTTCTGAAAGGGGTCAAAGTTAAGGTAAAACAAAGTAGAACAAAATTCAAGTACTTTCAAGAACCTTTCAAGTAATTTTAAAGCCTTGGATTTACTACTTTAAACTTATCAGACTTTCAGGGTTTATAAGGGCTTGTGCAAATCCTGTAATATTAAATGCTATTACTTGTATTGCTGGTTGCCCTAATGATAAAAAACAGTATTATTGTATCAACCAAGATAGCAATAAGGTCATCTTAAAGAAGCCATTTGTCAAGTAAACTAATATTAAAAGATGTTGCTTGTATTGCTTGTTGCCATATTTATAAACAACAGTATTACTGTTCCAACCATGGTGACTTTTAGGACAAGAAGCCTTTTGTGAATTAAACTAATACTGAAAGCTATTCCTTATATTACTAGTTGCCCTAATAATATACAACAGTATTTTTGTTCCAAGCAAGATGTCTTTTAGGGAAAAATACACAATAAGAAAGAGAAAATATATTAAATATTTTATTTTTATCAAACAGAAAAACTCTGTGAAGTATGAGGAGAAATCCACTTTCTTTAGATGTTATAAAATTTCCTAACCCTCCAGGTGGTACCCTAGAGAAGGACACATATGTGACCCTGGTAATGAGGGTGTTAAAGCTAACGCTCAAGGAATAAAATCCATATATACATCGTATTAAGATAAGTTATATGTATCATATGTTTCAGAACTACTGATCTCCTAGTTTACAAAGTAGAGAATGAAAATTATGTTCATACCCTCTATTCTTTACTTGCCTCATAAGCAGTAAGTGAAGCATTTCCTATACAGAAATGTGAAAGCTAAAAATTAAAAATAACCTGAATCTTTTGAAATGCCTAAAACAGACTATGATAAATATCTTCTTAATCATAATATAACTTAGGAAGTTCATGAGATTATTACAGCATTATCTAGTTAGGTAAATATATGCTGATAATCAAACTCAATAAATGCATCATCCAATGAATTACTTTAGTTAACTTCAATGGTGAATGTCCAACAAATTGAGAAAAAATTACAAAATGAAGGGTTTCTTATTAATAAAAAGAAAATGTGAATAAAATTCAAATCTCAAAACTCACAATGACTTTCTTTCCCACAAAATTGTATTTGTAGTAGATATGAACAGGTACTTTTTTCTTTATGTGTGCTTTGAAACTACTCTCAAAATTGTTAATATTTTTACAAAGAAAATCATACATAAAATATTTTTTGACTGAAATAAGTTTCACCATTAATTAGCATAAGAAAAATACTTACCTAGCATGAATTTCTGGTGTTCCATTGTTATATTTGCTTCCTCGTTCCCACATGCCATAGTCTGGGGTGCGATATGCCCTTTCCACATAATAAACTAAATTTTGAACAAAATTCACTTCATCCATTGTGTAGATTATCTGAAGAAAATACAATAAATTATACAAGAATTTACTTGAACTTTAATGAAACCACACATTACCAATAATTTGAAAATGTTGTTAAATAGAGCTGACCAATACATGTGTCCAAAAAATAAAAACAAATGAGCTACACAGTATCAATTAATTATTTTAGGTGAGTGGCTTCCATCAACTTTAAATTTTAATGCAATTTCATTAAAAATGTTATTTTGAACTTACACAAAATGTTTTGTGTATGTCTACTATATAAAAAGTAATGTAAACTCAAAAACAATTTGGCTTTATCATTTAATATATGACATTTTAACATAAGAAAGAAATTACAAAAATTAAAGTGAAAAAAAAGGTCTAATCTTTGATCAAACTAGTTTTTCTTTATGGGAAAAACACTGAATCTTTTTTTTCTCGGGTGTTGGTTGCTTTTACTCACAAGTTAGCCTTTTATAATTAGAATTTATGTAATTGTTTTTTGCTTTTAAAAATGTTTTTAACATTTGTGATGAGATAGTATGTTCTAATGAACAAACAAAAATAGAAACTTAAGACAATTATGTTATTCATACTAAATAACATTAAAAGAAATTACATCTCCACTCTTTTAGTATCTAAAACAACACATATTTGTCTAAAACATATTTATCATTTAATAAAATAAAATTTATTGAAATAAGTATATTTACATAGAAGAAGTTTCATAACTGTAAGGATTAAGATAACACTGTATAGCTAAATACCCAATCTCTGGTAATCAAGCACAAATCTCTTTACCATAACACAAAAAATTAGTCATAAATTCAAGGATCAAGACAACCGTGTAACCTAAATATCCAACAACTGGTTAAAAAAATTATCCTAACACAGAAAATTAAATCATAAATTCAAAACTTTTCAATGACTATTCTATTACATGTTATTTGTTTTATATTAAGAAGCATGAAATATACCACACAAGTGTAGAATATGAAATGATGCTTAAGTTATAAACATGTACATAGTTATCATACTTCTTAAGTAATTTCTATCTTAAGTCAACCACTCTTTGTACTTATCAACCTCTAGCCATGAAATCTAAAAGTATTACTTCCATATTATTTCTAAAAAGAAAGAGAAAGGGATATCTTGAGTACTTCACTTTCACTGTTCACTAACAAACACAGTAAGATCCCATGCTCTTCATACTCGATGTTCACTGACAACTAGACAGGCGAGTTTATCAACATAATCGATTATCTATGGGCAGCAACTAAATCGATTAGTGTCTTATCAACCAATCAATTAATCAAAATTACAATTAAGTGAACTCTCAAAAAAAATGATAAATTAAACAAAATTAGAGTTTCTGATTATTTATAGCGACCCCATATAGATACGGGAAAAGCTATAGAAGAAGAAGAAGAGTTTCTGATTATTTACTGTTTTTGATTATTCCAGTTATCCAAGAAATCAAAATATTGCCCTTATGTGTATTGTTAAGCATAAAGCTAAATATAATTTGAAGGTGTTAGTTTCAATTCCCATAGCCATTAAACTTGTTCAGCCTGTCTTTGTTATTGTAATGTTACTAAGGCTATCTATCTGCTAATGTCAATAATTCTAAACTGCTGACTAGAGAGAAGACAACTGGTTGGCAGCACCCACTACCAACTCTCTGACTAATTAAGTATCGAATAAATTGTAAATTTACTGTTTTTTTATATTTTGTTATGTTTATAATTTATAATTACATAACTGTATCCTTTAATGTTGTACGCCGCAGATCTAGGGTACCAAACCCTCCTCTCTGCAAATTTTTTCTAAACTTAATAATTATTATTTAATGTTGCATAAACAGGCCCAGATCTAAAGAAAGGGAGTCCAGACCTCCCTCCGTTTCTTTTGGGAATTAATATAATGACCGTATTCTTTAAATGTTGCTAAAAAACAGGCATGAATATAGGAGAAGGGGCCAAACCCAATATGGACCCCCCTTTTTTTTAGAAATTAATAAAAACAGCCAGAAGTCCTTACACTACTGTAAACTATCAAACAGAAACATCAAATGTCAGTGTTTTTATTTGAATGGTCTATTAATTACCACAAAAGGTTTTTGGAGGTTTTATGAAATCCACACAGCTAAAACAATCCAGTTAAGGCAAATAACTGATGATTTCTAAAGTAATACAACAGCATGAATGTCAATTAAATAATAACAAGATAAATTTTCATGCCTTGCTTTTTCCAGACTCTCTAAAAATGTGCCTAGACCTTAGAGATTTGTTTTCATCAAAGTTATTATTATTTAGGACATCTGCAGCTCTTACAACATGACTTATTGCAGAACTGACTTTTATCATTTAGAAGTTAGAATTACCAAGGAACAATGCCAGCCTGAACAATCCTCTCCAGCTGGCAATGCAACTGAGCTGCGAGGGACATCAAAATATGGCGAATTTGATGAGATGAGACCAGAAGAAGTCTCTGTCCCTCCAATGAAATCCCAGAGTAAGCAATATACATCAACTGATGAACCCAACCTTTCAAAATGACAGGGGAAATGTCATGTGACACCTAAAGATCTCAATGGATGAACAAACAGTGACATGAACCCAAAAATCCTTCAGTGCCTACAACAGAACGTGAAAGAGTCCGAACCAGGCTTAAAAGATGATCCAGATCCGAGCATTCATAAAATGGGAAATAAAAGAAAGATGAATAGGAGAGAAAGCTTTATCCCCTTCTCTAGCTGTTGAAGTTTTGGGAAGAAAGTACCTAATGGGATACAACAGAACATAAGTGGAATGGAAAAAGAGTCCTGTGAACATGAACCTCAAATGAAGACCCATCCCATCCTGGCTGAGAGCATATATGATTAATGCCAGAAGGATGGGAGCTGGGCATTCCAGTGAGTGGCAAAAGCATTCTGAGACGAGAGCAGATCAAATGAAAAACTTGTGGATGAAGCATCCATTCTATGGAAAGCACTCCATTGGGACGAGATAACTTATTGGTCACTAAATTCATAACCTGGAACACGACAAGCAACGAGAACAATCTGATGACTGTGGACCCAAAAGAGAAGATCCAATGTCTGAAAACAAAGAGACTTGGAGGGAGTGCCCCCTTGCATGAAAATCTAGGAAACCACCGTGTAATTGTCTGAGTGAAGCATTATCACCTTCCCTCACAACAAATTGAGAGCCTGAGACATAGCTGTTCAAACTGCTAGAAGCACTAAAAAGAGTGATGTGGAGAGAAGATTCCTCTTTTGTCCAGAGGCCCTTGAATTCCATCTCCCCTACACAAGCTCCCCATCCCTGGAGAGAAGCATTCATAAAAAGATGTATCTCAGGATGTGGGGGTGGGAGAGGGACTCTTACTATCATGTTATCCCTGTACAACCACCAGCCAAGATAGAGTAGGCTGGAAGCTGGTAGGGTCACCAGACAATCCAGCAAATACTTGCAAATGTTCCAATGGTCCTGTAATGACCACTGAAGGAATGAGTGATTCAAAGGATGCCCACATCCCAAAAAAGAAGGAACCTCAAAGGTGTAGAAGGAGACAACAGTATCAGAAGAACAGCTCATTCCATGGCCTGAAGGTATAGAGGAGAATGTTGGGCTCGACTGAGATGTGAATTTAAAACAACCTCGAAATGGACGATATACTATGGGGGAGTAAGGATAGACCAGCTCTTGCAGCTTCAGATAAAAACAGCTCAAGTGTGAAGCTTTGCAAAGTGGCAGGAAGGAGCGAGAAGAACCGAGTCATCCATATAATGGTGAGTGTGAATGCCCATTGAATGAAGATGATGTGAAAAGGATCTGAGGGATGTCTCTCATGCATAAAACAGAGATACCAATGTGAAGACTCTGTGATCAAAATATGAAGGGAAGCATCAGCGACATCAAACTTTGTCATCCATAGACTGGGTGCAAAGTACCACTGAAGGGAAAGAAACAACTTCATGGTAAAACAAGGAGATTGGAGGAAATGCTTGAGACAAGAAAAGTCAATGACAGGTCACCAATCTTCTTCATTACTACAAACAAACTGGAATAAAAACCCTCAAGAGAGTAATCAATGGCTTCTTTGAGCAGAAGATCCTTGATGACTTGTGCTCAAGGACTAGATGTAAGATGATCCTTGGGGAGGGGAAAAGACAACCATTAAGGTAGACAATGGAGAAGATGTGAAATGAAGGACCAACCCTCTGGTAAGAACCTGAATGACCCACTGATTGGAGGTGAAGGTCTCCCATACAGACCCAAACCATCTGAGTTGAACCCCCCACACCATACCCCATAGGGTACTCACCTATGCAATAGTTGTCACTCCACACAAGCATAGGATGCCTGCTTATAAGGGTGGAATCTCCCTTGTATTCCAACTGAACGTGAAGCCGACGCGGGAGGTCTAGATACCCGAACCGGAGATGCAATAAACCATCAGTTAGAAGACTGGGAAAGGCAAGTTGCCAGTGTCTAAACAAAAAATTGGAAACAGGCCACATCCACTAGATTCCATGGAATCTGGAATACCTGCAAAAATTGAATGCCTGAGAAAAGGAGTTTCTCCGAGACCTCAATCGACCGAAAAAGGAAGTTGATTAACCTCAAGAAAGGCATCTCTCTCCAAAAGATCCCAGCAACAAAACAACCAAGAGACCAAGGAGAGAGTAGAAGCTGATAACCTAACCAAAGTAGAAGTCAATAAATGACTAAGATCCTCTGAAAATTGAGTAGGGGACCTGTTAAAAGCTTCAGACGACAGCTGCAAAGAAGATAAAAAAGGTAAATCTGTTGTAAAGGACAGTCAAATCTTGGAAAACTGAATGAGGTTAAGACAAATTGAGGCATCAGGTCCAGAACCCCAAAGAGGAAGAAAAGGATTCAACCTCTGAGAATGTAAATATGGGTCCTCCAAGTGATTGAAAGCTAAGGCATGCTGATACGATAAATTGGGAGGACAAGGCATGGCAGCAGCCTCACTCAATTGATCTGCAAATCAACAAGCATTCACAGCAATGTCTGGCAAAGGTGGAAAAACTAGGTAATCAGCCAAATAACTTTCCCCCTACAAAGAAGGGGAAGAGTCGTAAGCCACAGGAAAAATCTCAAGACATCACAAACTTTATGTACTAGTTGCAAAAAATGATGCAGGAGGCAGGATGTCTGTCTAAGGCTCATGATTAACTTGCATAGCAAAGGAAGAAGTAAAAAAAATAGAGTTCATATTTTCACCAGTCTGTCCCTGATCCCCCAACAATAGAAGCCTGTAGGAGAAGAAATATCAGACCTCATGAAAGACTCCACCTCTCTCCATATAAGGGATCTGACATTCTTCACAGAAAGTGGACCTCCCCTCAACAACAGTGCTACACTAGACTCCAGAGATGGCAGATTAGGAGCAGGATGATGACAAAACCTTGTCGAAACGTTGTACATTTGCTGTTGTATTAAAGTTTTTCTTCATTACCCATTCAAGCTGTCTCCAGCCATTATTAATCTTAATATTATATGTCTGTTTCTACTTAAATTTTATTGTTTTATTATCCTTTGAACCATGTCTAACTAATAATCCCACCATACAAGTTGTAAATCATTTTCTCTAAAGCAATGTCTATTTTGTAGGTTTAATAAGTGTGGATCATATTAACTCTCTCAGTATGAGCTCAGTCAATCTGACCGACCATGTGACAACTTTGTTCTCATTCAAAGTCTTAATAGATTTGATACTACTAACTTTCAATTAATGTGTGTGTCTTCACGAAATTTGGCAGTCTTTCAGTAAACATTATAAGTCTTTCACATACACAAAATCACATTTTTTAGTGAAGTATTTTACATAAACTAAAAAAAGATTTGTCCACGAATATATCAAGTATTTGTTTTAGATAGTTTGTATTTTCATGTTAAGGTTAAAAATACTCTTCTTCATCTCAAAAATCTCAAATTTCATTTGTGTGATATCTAAAACTTCCTAAATACACTTCAAACATTTGTTTTCAGTAAAACTTTATATTTTATCTGTTATTTTTTGACCATCCTCGTAACCACAAAAAAAAATTCAAATAAATCTAAATTACCATTTTCTTCTTTCTAGAATGACT